ATATATCAAAATTATGATTGTGGCATCAAACTCCAAGAAGTTGCGCAACCTCCTTTTGGTTCAATCCATTATCTCTTTCGGAACAAGCTTGATACACTGCAAGATTACCTTGATATATTTATTCTATTATATAATCTATATATCAATTAAAATATTCATAAAATCAATATAGATTTACGTTTATTCAAAAAACTTCTTGATCAACTTAGTCAAGCAAAGTATCACACCAAGATTGATCTTTGTGGAACGTAAAATCTAGTACATATCAACGAAGTTGATAAATAATACACGGCGTATTAAACTTTAATAAAATAATGAAGCAGATCAAGCATTTGAAGGCCTTTAGAACGTCATCTATTTTAATGTATCTTGATTTCAAGAAGCTGTGATCTCCTAAAAAAAGATGCTTCTGATTTTGTCCTCTGATACACAACATGATGAAAGTGTTCATCTTTGTCCTTTTTCTCAATCCGTTGAAGATGAACACTTACATCATGTCATGTTTCACTCAGAAAAATCCATTGTTGTTGAGATCAAATATGAGATCCATGACAAGGTGCTTTTAGCCATTGTTGATTTGTTAAGAGAGCATCATCATTCTTTCAAAGATGCCATGCATCAGATCATGATATAAATCGGTCTCAAAAACCTTGAGTACTTCATGTTTGCAAAATTACAATATTGACGAGAAGCATGTTGGAGTATATTGCTTTTGCGCTTCAACATGTCATGTATATTGTCATCACTTTCTATTTATATGTCCAACAAATTCAGCTCTATGCTCTTTTCCAACAAGCGTACCTTGCACACGATGAAGTAAATGCAGCTTACAAGCAGCAAAAGTTTATCCTTATCTAGTCTGAACAACTTCAGCTAAAGACTTTGCTCACCATAATTTTTTTTGATGCAATTTTCTTCAAGATATCCGAGTAAGTTTACAATCCAATACTTTGACCTTGATATTGAAAAACAATGCTAATATCTTTCAATTATAAATTATAATTCATAGATTATAGATTTAGAATTTCCAATACAACCTACTTCAAGTTTTAAAATTTTTAAATGAAACTACCTAAGATGATGCTATCCAAAATTCCAGTTTTGAGGTAAACTTTTATACTACTATTTTTTATTTGTGAAGTATCATGCCAATTCTAAGAGCATTAGTCTTGACACAAATTTTCATTAACCGATAATTTTGTTACAATGAAATCATAAAGCTGATATCCAAAGACTATTGACGGCCACAAATGAGTAAAACTGTGAAGACTATATCACAATAATGACACTTGCTCTAAATAAAAAAATCCTTGTCATTAGTCATACATATTACTTCAACATCTGTCGGTTTTGAAAATTTTATGAACATCCATATTCATGAATTTCATTGTAGATGTTTTAAATTTTTAAATTTAGTTTTTGTTGGAATGAATCGCTTGACAAAGATCATTCAATTTTGATAACAAAACTATCACATGACAAAAATGGTATGAATTTTCTTGAAAAATGTGTACAAATATCATGAATTTTTCAACGACATCAAGTCTAATCATAATATGCAATACACATCTAAGGTTGTCAATTATTGTTCAAGATCTTACAAGTGAAGAACAATCTATCATTGGCGTGTCATACTCAGACAGATGGAAAATTCAAACAACAATTGGATGTATCTACTTCAAATCGTAAAGTTTTGACTACAACAATATATTTCAAAATTTCATCCATCAAATTACATTTTTTACAAATTATGAAGATCTACCACAATTCGACTCTTTGAATCTGAGTTTGGCAAAAAATTTGACTACGCAAGATCTCTAGATTGTCAACTCTTGCATCAATCCAAAAAAAATTAAAATATTTTGTACATTGGAAGGATTATCAAGTAAGCTAGTGAACTTGAAAACTTATAACTAATCTTGCTGATGCTCCTGAAATGATCAAAAAATGTCATCGTCATTACGCGACAAAATCTAATGCCAAAGATATTTGAATCCAACATGTTTGGATCAACATCAACACCAAAGCAAGCTGTAGCCATATGACTATCAAATGGATTTCTTGTAATAGATTTTTTATAAGATAAATGTAATGAACTTGTGGAATCTCGTTGCTTGAAAGAGTATGATGTCACAAACGTGACATGTAGTATTGGTGATTGTGCCAACTTGAAACTAACAACGGTATTAGTTTTGCAGCTCGAAAGACAATGACTCTTTCCAAATTTGAACTAGTAGTGATGGCGGTTTTCAACTTCGGAGGCGGTGACTTTAATTTTTAACTCTAATCCTGGTAGCGTCCTGACAGTATATATAAAGAATTATGAAACATTATTTCTAATTCCAGTCAGCACCAATTATAACTACTCTTCCAGATTTCAATAAGTACTTCCAGATTTCTTATTTTGAGTGTCATTTTGACTCTTGTGTGAGCAAACTCTTCACTTCTGGTCTAATTTGTTTATACTTTGAGCGCCGAGACCTGCATCACATCCAAAAATCATACCCGAAGCCGATCCATGTCCACGGATTGTGGGCTTGTGGTACCCATACCCGACCCACAACCGAAGAGACAAACCCGAAACCGACCCGTATCCAAATCATCTTCGAGATTATACCTGACTTGGAGCTGAATAGATTAGAAAAATCGGTGTAACCGTAACATGGAAAAAATCATCAGTTTTTATTTGAAATGAGCAAGTAGTCTAGAAACCAGCAAGTAGTCGAGAAATCCTCCGCGACCAATTTTCTGAGCTTTACTCATGATCCATTTTTAAGCCGAACACCCATCGTACTAAAAGTCCAACCCGGACCTGAACCAAACCGTTTCTAACTTGGACCAAACCCGATCCATTCCCATCGGTTCGGGTTGATGGTATGGGTACCCGATGCAGGTTTCTGCTTTGAGGTATTCCATCAATCTAGTCTTTTGTCTAATGATGGAGTTGCCGTCCACAACGAAGTAGCAAACCTAGATGATGAGTTACAATAGTAGTTCTTGAATATATACGAGAACCTGCCATTATGAGAAATAAATACTATACTCCTTAACACTCTAATAAGCAAATTTCACTCCTTGATTTTAATACAACTAAAAATCAGCTAAGATTTTGAAAAAATATCCACTCCACAAACCTAGTTGATGATTTACAATAATAGTTCTTGAAAATATACTAGAACCTGGCATTATGAGAAAAAATTATCATCCTCCTTAACAATCTAATAAGCTTATTTCACTCCTTGGTTTTGATAAAACTAGAACCAACTAAGATATTGAAACAAATCCCACTCCACACAACCCAGAAGGTGTGATAAAATACTCAACGGAATTGCTCAAACACCTTCCACTCGAGAGCAACCCAGCATTTATGATATTTTGCTGGTAGAGTTTGGATTTCCTAAACTCCTAATTTCCAAACCTTAAAAACGTTTTCTATTTCAACTTTGAAACTTGACACTTAATCCTTAAACAATGGTGACTGAGTAATTTTCAACACCCAAGATGACAACACTACCAATACTAAATAAAAAATTAATAAAAAGTGAGAAACGAAAAAACTCATAGATTACAATAATCTTTAATCTGATATTAATTCACAATATACATGATAATAAACTTAATTTTTTTTGTTCAATACTCAGATGAAATCTATCCCCAACCTTGTTATACAGTTAATGTAATGCTACTTAAATGACAATAGGATATGCTTGAACAAAGATGAGTGACCTGTGACTTCGTTTGTTTTAGACGCTAGCATGAATCTTCTATTTCGATGATAACTTCGTCCTTTACATTATGTTATTGTAAAAAACTATAAAAGTCTTGAAATTAACAGTTATCATGTTTCCACCGTCCATTACATATGATCATGGTCATGCGGAAGAAATCTGAGACATGAGAAAGTGCACATATCTGGTTACTCTGTCACGCTCTTCAACCAGAAAAATATTCTGGAGTTGAGAGAAGACTCATGGGCCGCCGAATTTCCTCGGACTGAGTAAGTGAGCCATTCTGGTCGGTTCCCGACTCCACGTGACTTCCGAAAAAGTTCTGTTTTCGATGCTGCACTTGATGCATCTCCTTGTTCCAACGAACTGCAGCGTTCATCAGAAAGAAGATCATCGTTCTGATTGACGAGGCAGAAGAGGTGCGTCGTGAAGTTTCCACTATGTGGACATGTGCAGAAAGTTCCTGTGCTCATGAATAGACATGACCAAAATTGCTGAAAGTTGAAGTGCCATCATTTTAGCTCATCTCGGACGACTATGCACAAAAAGGGGCGGTAGCGATATGTGGACTTGGTTATAGTGCTCCTGATATAGAACGACTATTTCCATTAGAAACTGCATGCACCTAGCTCATAGATCAATTTTCTAATGCAACTTCTAATTGTTAACATAATATTATACTCTCCGGATCATCTTTAATCACTTAACTGGTGAAACGTGCGGGTCAACAGTGTTGTTTCTATAATGAAGTAAATGTTCTGGAAGGTGGTTGCAGCGGTAGAATTTATCTGAGGAAAAAATTTCATGCGCTGCTTGTCGGATGATTGATCCAGTAGGCATCAAGGGGTTTGGAACTGAATAATGCTGCCATAGCCTGAATTTCAAATCAGCGTGCGGATCCATGGACCTTTCGCTTTCATCGTGTGCGTTCTTCAGGCTTTTATTTCCAGGGAGCTCATGACCTACTAGTTTTTTTTTGTGATTCTGCAACCTACTCTTTTTTGTCTCTAGGACTGACCAGCCTACACCTTTCTGTCTTCAACTGCCGGTCAAGCAAGTGGTGATTGGCCAAAATCAGGGAGACTAGGGAAAGAAATTACGTAGTTGACCAAAAGCTTTCCTCTTACCAAGGCTTCTAATGCAGCTAGTGGGCCCTCAGGGCCTGGCCCTGCTTCCAAACCTACAACTACATCCGCCTTTGAGCTGGAGGCACAAAGTCATCAGACTGGTATTTAAGTGAATTCCCTCGCTACACAAAGCATAGCAAGCAGCAATTGGTGATCTGTGGATCTTCTCACTGCCATTGCTGAATCTGAAAAGCTGAAAAATACAAGTTCGAGCTGTTTTCCCGCCTGTTGTGCTTGCATACACGAAAGTGCTGGAGAAGCTAAACAAATGGCAATTCAACAATCTTCAGTCGTGGGCCTCTTCATCCTGCTCGTAGTTCAGGCTGCTCAAGACGTTCCAGGTGTCTCTGCTCGCAGTCTGTTCAATACGTCTTCTACGTCTCTAGTTTCTGGGCTTAAAAATCCTCTGAAGGCACCCTCTCCTAGTACTCCAGAACATCCGAGTCCTCCTGGTATTTTGTCTAGTATCACCAATGCTCTTAAGGCACCTCCTATGCCACCATTGGGATCTCCTAGTGTTCCTGCTTTGAACATTCCTGGTGCGGGTAATATCGTCTCTGGAATCACGGCAGGTCTGAAGGCACCGCTTCCTTCTCCCAAGATACCTGGTGTGGCTGATATCGCCTCTGGCATTACCGCAGGTCTGATGGCCCCCCTTCCGTCTCCCAAGATACCTGGTGCGGGTGATATTGTCTCTGGAATTACCGCAGGTCTGAAGGCCCCCCTTCCTTCTGTCGAATTACCTGGTGCGGGTGACTTAACCTCTGGAATTTCCTCCGCTCTCAAGGCACCCCCGCTCGGTGGCCTTGGAGGACTTCTACCAACAGGATCCTCGAGCTCGACGGCCCAAGATGCAGCAGGGCTGACAATTTCTGAATCGGTGTCCATCAGCTCTCCAGGATTGGGTTCCACTGCTGTCACTGCCACCACTGTGATTCCTCCTTTGGACAAAATCCGCACTCCAGACTTGAAGGGAATCTTCTCTGGACTCTTGCCCAAAAGCTCCCCCCCACCCCCTCCGCCTTCTCAGCCCTCATCGGCTTCGTTGTTCCCTGGACTCCACTAGAGCATATCAATGGAGTATCTATGAGTTCATACACATGGTAAGCGGCTGGAAAATCTGCACATTGCACAATCTACATCTTCTGAACTTTTTGCTTAGAAGATATCAGATTAGTTTCAATGTTCGGGTCTTAATAAAGTCGTGAATATGTGCAGATCTATACTTCAAAGATTTCTCATTATAAGCGGAGTCCGCTAGCTGGAGTCCCGCTTGAAGAGCGACACGACCATAAATTTCAGATCTGCGCACGTAACCAAGCATTCTCGTGACAATGCTTGGCAACATTCTCACGTGGTCAGTGGCTTTGAGCATCTCGGTAAAAGTTAGTCTCAAAACATACTACTGGATCAGATCGAAAAAACGTCAGGAGTCGACTAATGAGTCGCATCAGACACAGGAATTGCATAATTGGATGTAGAGGACACAACCTGCTACATTTCAAGCTCAATAACGTTCGATGGATTCGTGCACGGAGTGGAAGTTAGATGAACGCGGCAGCTTTGAAAGAAATTGGATCCAGCTGCCAATTTACCAACGATCTACCACAAAGTTGTCGAATGGAATAATGCTTCCAGATGAATAAATATGTACGATATCTCTTGAGAAGTATCAGTTGGTTTTACCCCTCGCATCACATTCCTCTGTATTTTCCCCAATCTTCAACCTGTTCTCAGATTCCAACTTATTTCACAAGCGAAAGATGTCAGCGTAAACCCTTTGAATTGCAAAGGAGTGATCAACATATTTTTTTCACCTTGTAACATACCACAACTTAAGTCAGGTACTTGGAATTCAAGGTTATGTGTATCATGATTGCCTTGCGCGATAAGGATTTTGTTGATTGTCTCTTGAAGGGATCAACATCACTAATACCATCACAGAGTCTCGGGCGAGTCTGTGTCCTGATCTGGGGACCCAGCACTCTGCTGATTAACATACCAGAAAAAGGTTGTGAAAGAACACCACCAAGAGTGCTCCTTCATCTTGTCACGAAAACAGCATCTTCGAAGAACCACATTAACTAAGCTTTGCGTAGGTCCCCCTTTGGAATGGGAAGCGAATTAGAGTACATGCCTAAGTTGTAAGGGACAGAAAGAATCGATCCGAGAGCAGCGGGCAGTTGCTTCTCTTTGTCTACCTGATTGCTTGCAACTGTCCACCAAATTGGAAGGGGGTGTTGGTATGAGGACTGGAATTTAAAATCCACGAGTGACCAGACCTTGTTAGCACACCAAACGAACGGAAAGTGTCTGCGCTACAAGAGGAACATATTCTTGGGTTTCTGATGATTCATTGTTGTTCTTCCCAACTCAGTCTTTCTCCTTATGTCTTGTTCAGTCAAAACACAGCAATCAATTTTAATGAAGGAAACGTCGTTTGTTGATCGAGGTTTCTTTCATGACGAACCACACTCGAGAAAGACATGAACACATACATGCCCTCCATGGATCTTTTCTTCTTGGAAAGTGAAGAGAAGCGGTGTACCAAATTGCCGAATCTGAGAAATTCGCGGCTTGCGAGTCACTTCAGTCGTGACCAGAGCATTCGAGATTGTGTGAGAAATAAAGGTGATCGATCTGAGGATCTGAAATCAGCTGCCTTCAACATAAACTTAGGCTGAATTGTTATGTTCCGGGAAATTGTTCGAAATGAACTGAATATGGTAGGTACATCTTTGGAGAAACTGGGACATATACCAAAAGTTAAACTTACAAACTTCATTTATCGCTGGCACCGACATTGTGATCTGACCCACTTCACAATCTCATCCGATATCATGTAGTGTTGAAATTGCTCAAATTGCTCAATTGGAGAAACAGTCCCCAAGAATGCACGGGATCGATGAATCGACTCATGGAGGTGCTTCTTGTCAGGACTTCTACCGCCGACAGTCTGCTCCAGCTGATGAATCGTTCTCACAATGTGAAAGGTTGATTGTCAACCACCAGGTGCTAAGTTCACCGACCCGATACCGAGTCCTGATGTTACAAGCACCCTCCTGGTCAATAATCAAACCATCCCTCATTATGAACATAGCCTGATGCTGAATTGAATACTCGTAGTTCCTGATGTTTAGAGCTTGTGCACGAAATTAAGCTGTTCCCTGGATGAAAGACGAATTTCCTACCTTCCGGTTGACCAGAAATGAAATACTTGCGATCAGAAATTCAACATCAGTTTCAATGTACATTCATGATATGATCACTCTTTTCGGGAAAGCACGTATAGAAGAATTAGTACAGAGTTGATTGCAGCACATGCTCACAAGGTCATCCACGTTAAAGCGTAGAACAAGCTATGATCGATGCTGACATGACGGAGTCTGATGGTACATCTACCTCCGCGCACTGTAACTACAGGTTCCTTATTAGGTCTCGTGGCTGCCTTCTTCAGCGAATTATTAGTATTCTTTAAGAAGCCAAATTCCATGTTTACTTTCCATCCCACTTCATCAGTGTTTTCTCACAAGGCGTCGGGTCCATGTCAACAGAAGCTATTTCCGTCAGCATAAGATACCATACACTCCAAAAACAGTGGAAACTTGACTCGGAAGTGCTTTTTAGAGAGCAAGGTACTTTGAGCTTCCCACGGACTTGTAGTTGGAACAATCACTGAACCGAACAATAATGCTGAACGTGAATTGCATCCTTATTCTGTTTGTACTTAAGCTTCTCTCCCCATCTCTTTCTCGATCTGATCAGGACTCGTTGATAAATATATACATATACAGGCTCGTTGCTAGACATTTATGGGAGTGGCAGAGTCTCGTCCGAGGCATGTGATGAAACTCTGACAACTGCAAGAGTATTTTTTTTCGATCTTCCATCGGGATTGAAGATTTGACTCCCGGTCTATCACGTTAGAGCTCGTGGTTGTGCTCATCGAGATGGCTGTCATGTACTCTGGCCTGATGGGTTTCTGCAGTATGATGGTGGGAGCGAGTTTGATGCTCTTAATGCATCCGGTGGATGCTGCCAGACGCAGCGTTTGGAGTATTCCGTCGAGTTCTGGTTTTCAGCCTTTCAATGTCACAGTTTCTGACGGCCCTCCATTGATCGATGCAACGACTGTCACCACTGTCGTGAGCGTAGGCCTTCTAGGCTTGCGAAAAGATTTGGTGAACACGGCAGTCACTTCTCCCCCCGTCCCGAGTTTGAGGGTCCAATTGAATTTTCCGACTCTTCCCACTCTTCCCAATCCGGTCTCTCAACTCTGTAACGTCACCTCAATCCTTCCTAATGCCCTGAAGTCTATCGTCTCGTCTATCACTGATCATCTCAAACAATCTCGGATTCCGATACCACAAGTTCACTTACCTGCTCGTTCTCCCATTTCCAAATCAATAGCTCCTTCTCCTTCTTCTGATCCATTGACTTCTCTTCTCGATGCCATTCAAACCTTCTTGAAGTCCATCTTACCTCCAAGTACTTAAACCTCGTCATCCTTCTCCAACCATTTCTCTTTCTCATCTTATAAAGTTTCTGAATCGGCCTACAGCCATCCGATCCATATCGACGATCTGACCACCACGGCTTCCATGAATTCAACTGCAATATACGTGATCTCGAAAATGCCAGCAACAGGGCCTCGTGGCATTCCAAGAGGCTGATCACAACCTCTTGGAATCATTCCAAGAGGTTGTGATCAGCGGAAGGACTTCGGACTTATTACAGTACAATGTAAGGTTGATATACATCAGCAGCAGTTCATAAGGGTACTACTAACAAGTTTCTCACAGTGAGAACATGGCTGCTGTACATTCAGGGGTTCAGTTTCAAGCTGCTTTAAAAGGTTAATAAGATCCTGCGACGTCTCGGCGAAAATCGAAGCTCAGGTCGAATGTAGGATGTGGAAAGATTAGTCAGCGCAGGACGGACCAGGACTATCTGTCGGTTTGCTCGTAATAAAATTATCGAGTAAGTTCCTCATAACACTTATTGTTCCCGTGCTTGCACCTGCAGCATGGAGAACGTTTTCCTCTCAGGCTGTGATTTTCAATCTGAAAAAAGTGTCTTCCTTCACACACTCCAGCGTGCTGTGATCGATATCTTCGAATCTGTAACCAACAATCTATATGTTAATAATTCCATTCTGGTTTGGTGAATCCACCAAACCTCAGTTTGTACGACAAACTTTAGCATCCAGAAGTCGGTGATTGTCAGGATGACACATGCAATAAGCGAAGGTAATGAGATCTCAATCAACTTCGATGCAGTACTCTTGCCTGATGACTGTACTACTCAAAATTGAGCAGTGGATTTGGGTCCCAATTATTTATGCATCGGTGCAGTAACTATGAGCACTTTCAGAAGCAACGAACTGTTCCATAATTTCACAATTTATGTCTATAAACCCAAACCCATGATTCTTAAGAGAAAGATGAGAGATGATGAGAAATGGAGATATCACAAATGTTCCAACATCGTGGATTCAGACTTGTTTACAAAATTCTCCACGAACTACAGCACTGTTGCCCTCAAATCATAAAACTTTGAACTTGAGAGGAAGGAACGTATCTGTCGAGCACTTCCAGTATGCAAACTTACGAACCCTGCCAATATTTCTTGTCGGAGATCTTTCTTGGGTGTATCGCTCTTTTAGCCTGATTATGTCCTAGTACACAATTCCATCTCTTTTTGTGAATCAGACTGAAGTGAGTTGTGCAGAAAATCTTCCCCACTGAACAGTCTTTTAACCGGTGGAAAGAAACACTTTTGTTATATTAGTATATAAAACAAAAGGGAGGGAGTATCCCATAACTTCGTACATTTCTTTCACTATCTGATAATCACTATCGTTTATCCATTCCTTTTGACTTTGAGAACTGTCTTATGATAACTTTTTATAATTATAGATGGTCAGGTAGAGCAATACGAAGATACCAGCAATATACATTAATTTCTATTTATCAAGCATTCACATTACGTCATCCTCAGTTTGGAAGTTGGCCTCGTTATGCAACACAATCTTTCACACAATTATTATTATTAGCTGATGTGATAACAGTTGGATAACGAAGCTAAACGGCATTTATCTCGAGATAACTGTATGTTCTTCCGCTCCACATGGCTACATGTGATTAATCCAGATTTGGATAAAGCCCGTCAGTTGTTGAAAAAAAATCATCAGGTAGGTGGAAGTAATTCACTGATAGCGTGATAACCTTCAAAATTTATTGATGGACCTAACGTATGTGTGTTTAGAATCCATGAACACACACCCATCATCAAAAGGTTAGTTGGTGCGTTTTCCTGACAATTTCTTTGGGTCACGATCTGAAATAAAATCTCAAATAGCACCTTCCCTACAGGATTGATCTGTACGGACGATACATATGATTGGGTAATTCATCATACTGTACTGTCTCCACACCGACCTTACGTTATCCACATGACTGTTTACCCATTATTTACGTAACGAATATATTTTGTGGAAGAGAATATTTTCTCAAAACTTGATACGACCACTACACTCTGACCTTGACCTTCAGCAATAATTGATCATGCAGACTCACAGTTCGAAAAGCAAATGGTGGGGAGCGGGTAGAGGATCACAAAGTTATTTAAGAATTTCCTCTTCGAATAATCAGGCACAGCCGCAGCTCTCGGTAATCTTTGGGGATCTTCCAGGATTGCCCGCATGCCCGAGATCTCGAAGAAAAAATCGCAATCAGATGTAGCGTTTGGGGCTTCTCCTCAGCTACGTACGTGGTTCTTCCTCGAGTCTGTGGAAGAGTTGCCACCAAAGGAAGTGTGGTGAACAGTTCAGTGCAGCGCAGGGGGGGTTGAGACATGGCGTGAAAGGCGAATTTCATGAGCTTGTCGGTCTTGCTGTTGGCACGATGTGTGATGATGTATTGTCTGCCGGTTGAATCAGCTGGGAGGAGATTTAGCGACTATTGGGGACGGCACGGAACCTTGGAGAAGAATTGACTCCAAGTCGGGATGTTTGCCAGTGCAATCCTGGAATTGCTCATTCTCGATACGACTCATCCCCTCGAGTCTCTGAAGATTCGATCATTTCTCTGCCGAAAACCATGGAAATTACCGTCTTGCCTGTCTTGGCCATCAGATTCCTCATGGAAGTCGAGTCCTTGGAGAATCGTTTCATGGATCACAAGAACTCCAGAGTCTCACTCCAGAGAGTGAGACTCTGGAGTGAGAACTGCCCATCGAGTCTCTGCAGCGGACGCTCGAGCTGATCTTCGATCCTTTGCCGGGTGTGCGCAATTGAGGTAGACTCGTCTTTACGAAGGACGAACTAGCATTAGAAGGAAACCTCCGGAATCTTTACAATTCTCGTCAGGAAGTCCACAAACCAGTTCTTCTCGTCACGTGCAAGGCGAAGTGTCTGGTTGTGCATTCCTACATCAAATTAAACTATAGAGCTTGCGCTTACTTTCTGGACTGAAATTTGATTGCTTGCTGTATATCGAGATAAACCGACTCTTGAGCCGGTAGCTCGTGACAGTTTGTGCCGGTCTAACCGGTGGTTACCACCTCGCACGGGAGCTTCGAAGCCCTCGCGGTGGAAGTCCTGATTATGTATCAGATGAACGAGATGAAGGAGATCTCTGCCGCATAATCGAAGGAGATTTTGTGTGTAGAAAGTCGAAATCATAGTTTGAAGTTGATTAGTTTTCATCTCTGGTTTCTTCTGAGATACTTTGTCACTCGTGTAAGCTGATCGCTTGACGGTCTTCTGCACTGTTTTATGAGTCACGGATTCGTGCTCAAAATGTAAACTCCATCGTCTTGATGTACGTTCACTCTCCGAAGTAACACGTTTCATTGTCTACTGTATATGGACGATTATGTTGATGTATAAAAATATGTATATACGTTGATATATATATTTGATCATGTATGTATATATTTGAAAAATATCATGATTTCATTATAATAAAATTCCAAGAATGGAATTATAATAAAAAAATTATCATAAATTTTTTGAAAATATTTTATTCCGGAAGAATAAATTTGAAAATATTTTTCTTCTCATACATACTTTAATTTCATATTTAAAAGATCTATGAAATTAAATGTAATAGCTTATAACTATTGACTTAATATTCAAAAATTTAAAAAAATTAAGGATAAAATTTCGTTAATCGTAATTTTGGGTCTCTTTTATTAAAATCTATTTGATATCTTTTCAATAATTTCAACGAATGAGTACACTAATGTATTAGTCGCAGCTATGAATTTTAATGAGACAGATATTTGTAAATGATGAAATTTTCAATTTCCACCTATTTAAAATCTTGGAAAGATAATATCAAAGTATACTCCAAGAAAAAACTTTGATATTACTCACGTTGCTTTAGATTTTTTAATGATTTTGTAAATAAGCTTAATATTCAAAGAGAGAGATTGAAATTTATATGTGCAATTATAAAATATTTCACAACACAAATCTCGAAATTCATTTAGTAGTAAGGCCTCATACCTGTAATGATTCTTCACATAACATAACATTTATACTTTATAAATTTTTTCCTAAATCGATGTTTTTACAAGCTGCAATATAAGCAGCTACCATTTTTTCTAGAAAAATATTATTAAAATTTGCTTTTATTGCTTCAAGTAAGAAAAAAAAATAGTTGCAAGATTCCCAAAAAAATGATACTTTAAGTGATAAAGTGCCAATCAATACATTAGCAAGTATTCCTGAAATTTCAGACAAAGTTCCATGCTGCTAAATGATTATTTCAATATTCTGGAAAACATTTTTCAAAAAATTTATTTAAATTAATTCCAAATAAGTAAATATTAAAAAATGAAAATTTCATATCATAAAACCAAAAAATTCAACATTTTTTTATCAATACGTATAATATTTAGAATTTTTCTTAATGAATGGGTATCTAATCTCAATGATATATTGGATTCTTTTTCAAAAAAGAACAAATAAGGTTAAAGGCTCTTAATACCATTTTTTTTAAATCTAGCTATAACACACCAAAAAAAGCGAAACTGTAAATTTGAAAATTATATTACTCAAATTACATCAAAAACAAATAATGAACACTTATTCTTAATATATGAATTTAGAAGAATACTTTAGTATCAAATAAAAAACATAATATCATCAATAATATAATCATTAAAATCAATGATGTGTGTAAAGAGTTAGGTTAGGTTTTTGATACTCTGGTTAGCTTGATCCAACTTAGTGAGGTTGGTTACTTTGTCAATATATAAGAAAGCTCATGAAAACTTTCGGTAAACTTTGATGTGTTCTTGGAGACATATCATGTAAGGCTCAAGCACATATGTCTGATGTGATGTTGACTTTGCTTGTGCTTTCTTGCGCTGATGTGTGTGTGTGTGACTGCGTTTGACTAATTCGTTCACAGTTTTGATTGTGATTTTGCGTTTCAATTAGTATCAGAATGTTTGATTAGTTTATTCTAGCGTCGTGGTGTTTGAGCTCGCCGCAATTCAATGATAGAGTTTGACTTTGAAACTTTACAAGATTAGTGAGAAAAAAAATGAGATAGATAAAGATTTAGGTTAATTGAATGTTAAAAAATGAAGCCCTATGAGAAGATAGAGTTTTGAATTCAATGCAAGGGTATTCGTTGCTTGCAAAAGATTGAGAGATTAGAGTAATTTGAATATAACAGTAGCTCAGAAGATTTTTTCTCACTTAAGATTTTGTGTTGACTTGGACGTAATTTGCATTGCTGAATCACGAATCTCTCGGATGCATGCATGACTTCAAAGAGCTGTATCGTAAATTTAGCAAATATTGCAACACTCTCCATACCTAGACTCACGGCCTCAGGTGGAATTTTTTTCTAAAGACCTTGTGTCAAGGTTGGGACTTGATTTGAGATTCATACACTTGATCTCTTCATGAGTGGGTATTCCAAGGACCTTCACAATCTCCACAAGTTGATCAACACCGCTTTCTCCTGGTTCCCACAACAGTAGTTTTATCATTGCGCAATCCATATTTCAATATACCAAATGTCAATGACAGTTGTATACTAAGCCCAAAAATGCGCTCAAAAGTTTGGTAGTATGTAGAATATGTCTACAGATATTAGCTTTTCCTTTCACCAACACTTTAGCACCGCTAAAGTGTCATAAATCAATGCCACTGGGGACGCAGCCAAGCAAGCAACAGATCTTGTAAGTGTAGATTTTGATGTTAAGTAAATACATCCGCTGAGTTAGTAGATTGTCATTCTTGTATCCCTTATTCCGTATAGTTTACCTTA